TAAACTCACAAACAACATATATGTCTTCAATTCCCTTTCCCTTATCAATGTCCCTTACGAAGATAGTGGCTATGTATGCTTCACATCCCTTCACAAGCTTCATTTCCGCTTGGATTGATGAGACCACTATCCCGAACATTGGTTGTATACCCTGGAACTCTAACTTTCCATTCAATTGCTCTAGTCTAACTCTGTCTGATGGCAATCTAATGTGGCCTTAAACCTTCCTAACCATTCCATACCCATGATCACCTCGTGATTCTTAAGTGTCACAATGATTCTTAGGTCAGCAAACATTATCACATCCCCTATCCTAATCAAAATTTCTCTGACAATTCCTTGTGAATGCATGGCTTCATCACCAGTGGCATTCAGAACTCATAACACAATACTACCATCTAGTTCCTTCTGAAATTGACCTCTAACTACTGTTTCCAAACTCATAACACAATGTTTATCCCCAGAATCAAACAAGACGTGGGTCGATACACCACCAACATCTACGGTTCCTACACTTTCCTAAGGCTAAGTTTCATATCTAATCAAAACAAGGGTCATGCATTAATTGAACAGGCTTGAGAAAGAGGCTTACCAGTGATGGTCGTGTAGTTGTTAGGGTTCTCCAATCTCCTTGGTTAGCTAGTAAACCCAAGGTGTGAGAGTCAACCTACTAACCCAGGCTGTCATTCACTACCACTGTTTTTTCCCGACCGTACTTCCCCATTAATGGGTTTTCTAAGAAACTCTCTTGCAAAGTGTTTGGCCTTACCACACTTGTGGCATGTCATAACACCATCATTGGTTCCCCTTGTACCATGCTGCTATAATTCTAATCGTGGTAGTCCATACTACCACATTACATACATGCTCCCATTGCCTACCATCACTGACCACTGTTTCTCCTATCACAAGACCCGCACTCCGCATGTCTAACATATCTGGACTCCTAACTTAGATGTTCCCTTTTCTGTTTCTTATCGTTAGATGGAGGAGCCGTACAGTATTCTTTCTGAAACTTACTGAGGTTAGCTGTAGCCTCTTCCTTGAGAGTAATCTCAGCCCATGCACCCCTCTCGACCAACTTGGAAACAAATCCATAGGTACAGACTTGGAGATGGGTCTGTAACTCTGGCCTAAGTCCTCACCTGAAGCATCGCACCAGACGACCTCGGCGTCCATCTCCTTTCCCACAAAAAAACGGAGGCGATTAAACTCTTCCTCGTATTGTCTAATGGACCTCGTCCTGGGTCAGCTTGAAAAAATCCGCCTCAAGACAATCTTGTGTTTGTATTGGGAAATACTTCTGGTCCAATTTGGCTTCCAATTAAACTCTTCCTTGTAGTGTCTAATGAACCTCTTACCCTGGGTCAGCTTGAAGAAATCCGCCTTAAGATAACTTCGTGCTTCCAGTGGAAATACTTCTGGTCCAATTTGGTTTCAGGCTCAACAAATGGACTTATACATCCACCAATGCGTTTCTCGACCGAAATCCACCAGTTGTGTGCTTTCCCATAAAGAAAGTACGCGACATTCTCCTCCATATACTCTCCATGGCACTTAGTGGAGGAAAAGTTCCTAACTAATCTACTCTTCCATCGGTCGGCGTAAATTGGATTGACACTACTCATGAAGACCCTAGTTTTCAAATGAATCATGAAGACCCTAGTTTTCAAATGAATCAGGTAGTCCAATATGTTCAGGTAAGATACCTTAACTCGACCATCTTGACTTGAAGTGGGTTTATCTCAACTATTTTATCTTCGCCATTCCCGAGAACTCGCTCAAAGGAAATTCATGTAAGTAAAACCAATTACACACTTACATGCCGATTGGTTGATGACAATGCAGATGCACCCAAACTACTTGAACCAACATACCTTGAAAAACTTCCATTGCATCATCAGTGACGGGTGTTGCTACTTAGGTTCTCAAACCAGTTGGATCATTACACTAGTTTGTGAATGAGTTTTGGGTAGGAAGAGCTGTTTTCAAGGATGTATTAATGTTCTTATTAATCATATTTATTCAACCAATTGTATTTGAGATAAATAAAATTATTTATAAATATCAATGTATTTATAATTAATATTAAACTGAAAGGTAAGTTTATATTTGCATTTTTTATGTAACAATAAAAATAATATAATGACATTTTTTCAGAAAATAGAGGAAGTAGTGCATTAAGTGGAATGTTGGATGATTACCCACATTCAAGTGTATACATAAACTATGGGTCCGGATGGTGACGGCGGTTTTTATAATATAAGCGGTGCGGAATTAAAGTGCGGTACGGTTCAACTGCGGTTCGTGCGTTATGCGGGACAAGTGCGGTTTTGGTAGAAAAAGTAGTGCGGTTTTGATAGAAAAAGTAATGTGGTTTTGATAGAAAATATGTGGTTTTGATAAAAAAAAAATAGTGTTTAATAGAAAAAATAATATAAATAAAAATATTAATACAAATATAAATTATTTAATTTTATGAATTTTCTGTAACAGTTTTTTGTCATAATTAGATTTTGTGTAAAACTAGCTGCTTGAATAAATTGACTGTATTATATTTCTGAATTTCATTTTATTATAATTATAATCTACAAAAATACTGAAGTATGTTAATTATTTTAAAATATATATTTAAATGTAAATTATTGATGAAAACTGTTAAAATATTAAATTAGAGAATGTAACTAATATAAGGTTGTTTACTGAAAAGAGTGATGTTAGTCTTTATTTTATTTTTTTGGTAAAATTTTTATTATTTATTTGATGTTTATTCTGGTCGGTATTTTGGGTAATAAATATTTAGGAACCGTTACTAAATTTTTTCATCGTTTATTGTACTTTGATGGATTCTTTTTGTAACAGAATTAATGTTCGATGTGTTTGACTACATATCTAAATATTTTAAATTATATAACTGTAATAAATATTGATTTAATAGAAAAACGCACTCAAAACAGGACAAAACCGCATGATAATCGAAGAGGGACGAAAAAATTCGCGGTATGTTCATAATACCGAACAAACAAAAAAATATGTTTGCAATTTTTTTAAAGTGCGTTTTTGACTCAAATACGCTTTCTATAATTAAAATGTACATGAATGGTAACACTTGTTGAATACCGCACCCACTAACACAATAACGTCCCGCACCACTGTCTCCAATCACAACCTATATATTAGCATCCTTTCACTGGTTGGATGATTTGAAAATTGCATAACCTCATCATGTGTCATCTTTAATGGTTTATTGAATTCCTTTAGGAAACAAGATAAAATATAATCGGGCAGAGGATTTAGATGTTGGAGTTTTTTCTTCTTTTCTGTCACACCATTTGATTTATTTTTATTTTAGTATATGATTTCTAAGGAAAACCATGACATTAATATATTTACATATATAGTTTTATCAGACTTGATACGTTTTTGCTGTCCCCATTTAATTGCCATTCATGCCTTTGGCTTTCTTTAATTGTTTTTTGTTTGTTAAAACAACTTTCTCTAATTTTTTAATGTTAGATATGAAATAATTTCCTGTATTATTTATTTAGTCATCATTTTAGCAGCCTAGTTTTCCTTGTCCTTCACTCCATCCCCGATTATATTAGTCAAGGAAAAATTAGTTCAACTGGAAAAATGAGTATGTAGAAATAAAATAAATAACTCAAGGCAAGAAAAAAGTAACGCACGCCATGTTTGTCTTTTACAAAAAAAAGTTCTTTTTTTTGTACAAAAAAATTCTTTATTTAAATCAGTGAATTTTACTAGCTTTTGAATTTATTAAGAAATTTTTACATTCTAGGACACATTTCCACTTATAAATTTCACTTTAAGTCACATGTTGCTGGAGACACACAATATGCATGTGTAATGTCTTTAAAGTCCTTCAACTAGAATTCCACTCTCCTTTCTGCCTCTAACTAAATACTAAAATAATTGGTAAAATGAATTCACAAATTACACGATACTTATTCCAAAAAAATCTTTCAGATCTATCTTTAATTCTCCTTACCTTTCCCTTTTCTTCTTCATCAATCTGTCAAGAACACTATGAACAACAGTAAGAGAAGAATCTGTTTTTAGTTTGTTCTTTGGCATGAGGTTGAGTAATTAAAATCCGTTGCTTTGTGTGTAGATCGAATCAAGAACGAATATTAACGTGTACAAGGGAGAGAGATTTATTTGCAAAACAACAAAATCATCCGAACCTCGTTTCCGCCGATAGTAACTACCACCACCGTCATCCTCCTCCTCCGAATCATGGCTGAACTCATCGTCTGCCGCTTTTAACTACCATCGTCGTTCTCTCCTCTCCTTTGTCTTCTTCTCGTCGTAGACTCGACTCCACACGACGGTCACCGTCGACCAAAAGCTAGTGTTCTTGAAGTTGAAGGGTTTTCGAGTTCTGGGTTTCTCAAAAGTTTTCTTCTTTGTTCTTTTCGAGTTACCATTAGATCTTTAAGCTCCGGAAATAGTTATGAGTTCAACGACTTACCTACCTATTCTTTAGCTTTCACTTGAAAGAGTAAACAAAATCTGATTTTGTGTGTGTAAATTAAGCATCTTTCCTAGGGTTTTGTGAACTAGCGCCCTGTTGGTTATCTCTCTCTGGATCTGTATTTTAAATCCACAGTTTGTATTCTACTTGCTAGATCCAGAAACTGAGCATAGATTCATTCTTTGTTCTGTTCTGTTTTATTATATGCGTTTATGTTTCTGTTTCTGTTTACCTTTTCTTCTCGCGTGAGAAAAAAAAGTATATACGCGTAACGAATATTCCTTAACCACTCTTTTTGACTAATAAAATTTTCCTTCTTTAAAGCCTTTTTGAATTCTCAGACGAGCATTAAAGCTTAACTTGAGTCTTTTCCTGACCTTTCAAGCTTTGTCTCTTAAAGGAGGTACCAGCTGCTGTAGTTAACGGACATGATCAAGTCACCGGTCACATAATCTCCACCACAATTGGTGGCAAAAACGGAGAACCAAAACAGACAATAAGTTACATGGCGGAGAGAGTTGTCGGAACAGGCTCATTCGGGATAGTTTTCCAGGCAAAGTGTTTGGAGACCGGAGAAACCGTGGCGATAAAAAAAGTTTTGCAAGACAAGAACAGAGAGCTTCAGCTGATGCGTGTCATGGACCATCCTAATGTGGTTTGTTTGAAGCATTGCTTCTTCTCGACCACTAGTAAAGACGAGCTGTTTCTCAACTTGGCTATGGAGTATGTCCCTGAGAGCTTGTACCGTGTTCTGAAACATTATAGCGGTGCAAATCAGAGAATGCCGCTTGTTTATGTTAAACTCTAAGAGTTACATTTTGTTCCTGGTAAAGTGTGGACATTCAATGCTTTTAGTTCCATGAGATTCATGTTACTTCAACATATTTGTGGGAGACCTCAGTTTAAAGTTATTGACACTATCATATCAGAAGATGATCCTCCATCACACTCTCATGTGGTCAGCCAATACACTGCAGAACATTACGTCCACAGCTCACCCGTCCACAGCTCACCCGTCCACAGCTCACATATCCACAGCTTACCTGTCCAAAACGACTGGACCTTCTCCATAACTTGCAAGAACTCTCCAAAACTGTGATGGATCAGCTAGACTTACAAAAAGCTTGGTTAGGAAAGGTAGATAAGGAGCTAGGGAAGATAGATGATTAGATAAATATTCCAAGACAATATGATGAAGGTTAACCAAGAGATTAGTTCAAGGATGGACGAGGCCACCACCAAGGTGAAAGAAGAAGTATAAGTCAAGGTCCCTGCTCACATGAAGTCAACAAAATATCCCTTGCTTCCTTTTGTCGTTCTTGGCTTTAGATGTACCTTTTGTTGTTGTTTGTTTGGGAAAAATTGTCGGTTTTATTTGTTTTTTTTTTGTAGTTGCAGAGCAACAAATGTTTCCCTACTTCATGTTTTTAAGAGATCCTTTTCAGTTTGGCCAAAAAAAAGCTTGACAGAAATGGTAACCCCAAAGCTAACCATCATTTACAACCTCAAGTAGCCGTGTCCACATCCACAACTAAACCCTCACCTTGACCACAACCCCATTGCCCATCATTACAACTAAAACTTTACATTGTCGACATCCATAATTTCAGCAGTTACCTTGTATACTCATCCACATCCACAAATACCCATGTTCACCGGTATGTCTCTTATCAATGAATCTTACCTTGTCTACATCCATGATTTTAGCAGTTGCCTCATCCACATACTGCATCCAATCGACAAACAAATCCACAAAAAATCATTAATATCTACTCTCGAAAACACTAGTTTCTGTGAACAAGCTTCACCTTCGAAAATTACATTAATATGTCACTATCGTGTATTAAACCCTTACTGCTTAACATCCCTCAGCCGTTGATCTTTTTAAAAAAAATTCAATCTCGTGGCCACAATTAAATCCCACTTTCATATAAACCAACCTTCTTTAATACTCTAACCAAACAAAAGTTATTTAAATAAACTAAAAAAATAGTTACGCACAGCAAACATGCCTAACTTTAGTTCAATAGCCGAGGGGCAATTTGGTCCACAACATACCTCGGTTTGTGGAAATGTGTCCTTCAGGCAAGATGTGTCTCAAATTGTAAAGAAAAAGTAAAAAGTGTCTTATGTGGTAAGTCACTCATTTATTAATCCCCCCCCCCTCCCATCGGATTCCAGTTACAAACACGAATATCTATATATTCCAAAAAGTTATTATAACACGCTATTAATTTTTCATTTTCACTTATTCGATAATAAAATTAAATGGACAGACTGGAAAAAATTACGATGGAAATTAGCTGAAAGCCTGAAACGAAACCTTACAATATAAATAACCCCATAGAAAAAGAAGATAGAATACTACTATTATTTAATTTCGATAATTCCAAATCAAAAACCCGATTTCTATATATATTTTTGTCATCTAAATCACAGAGCATAAATAAATCTAATTTCCTCACTTTCATCTACAGCACTTTTACTAATTTTCAAGTTCTGTTCTTAGCAATACTTTTCTTTTCTTAAAACATATCTCCTTAATATTTACATTTACATTTTAATTTTCTTGTTCTTGATCTTAGTTATATTTCTTGGTTACTATTTTTCCTCTGCGTTCTTAATCTCGTCTTTGTTTATCTATAATCAGAAAAATCTAAATCGAATTGTTGAAAAATAGAAGAAAATAGAAAAGCTAGTGGTTTGAGATATGGAGTCAACCGGGGAAGTTGTTAGATCAACCGTCGGTAACGGCAGCGATATCAAGGGGGTGGGATCCAAGGCGCCGTCAGATTTTCACATAGCCCCGAGATCAGAAAGCTCAAATCCATCTCCTAACTCCGTCACTCCTCCACTACCACAGTCTCATAATCACACGAACCAGCTGGCCATAGTAGCTCCGCCGCCGCTAATTTCGACGGCGATGACGACCACAGCGACGATGATGGAAGGTATCTCCGGCTTACCGATGAAGAAGAAGCGTGGACGACCTAGGAAGTATGGACCAGACGGGACAGTTGCGGCGTTATCTCCAAAGCCGATTTCATCGGCGCCGGCATCGTCGCATCCTCATCCGGCGAGCTCACACGTCATCGATTTCTCCGCCTCTGAGAAACGTGGCAAAGTGAAACCCACAAACTCTTTTAACAGAACAAAGATTCATCACCAAGTCGAGAATTTGGGTAAATCTTCTTTGCTTTGTTTTCTATTTTCGTCTATGTTTCTATTGAATTTGAAGAAAAGTAAAAAAGTACAAAAAGGTTTTGTCGGAATCCAGTTTTGTCGGAATCTAGTTTCGTAGAACTTCATGCATGCTTTTATTAAAGTGGGGCCTTTAAATTAGAAATAGATCCCCTCTTTTTTGTATCGATGTTTGATTTGCCTGTGCTTAATTACATATGGATGTGTCCCATGGCTATAGTCTACACATATAAGTCATGTTCTTGAATGTCACTTCATTAATGCAACATTAACTTAGGTTAGTAACTAATTTAGACGTTAAGCTCGACTTAGAGATTTTAAAATGAAAAATTAATTTTTTTTTTTTTTTTAGCACTAAGAAAAAGTGGAAAAATTAAATTAGCACTAACAAAAAGTGGAATATTGTATTACGATATCAATGAGCTTTGCCTCTTCTGGTTGTGTTTTGTGTAGGTGAATGGGTTCCTTGCTCCGTCGGTGGTAATTTCACACCTCATGTAATCACGGTCAACGCCGGTGAGGTAAATTTATTCGAACTTTTTCCGACCGGTCTCTTCTTTTTGTAAAAACCGAGTTTTAAATGAAAGTTTGGTATCATTAGGATGTGACAGTGAAGATAATCTCGTTTTCACAACAAGGACCTCGTGCCATTTGTGTTCTATCAGCAAACGGTGTCATTTCAAGTGTAACACTTCGTCAGCCTGATTCATCCGGCGGTACATTAACATACGAAGTAAGTGATTTAGGGATCTCATCAATCATTTTTTTTTGTTGTTGATGTTTAAGATAAGCTTTTTGATGGTTTATAGTGTTTATCAGGGTCGGTTTGAGATATTATCATTATCCGGTTCATTCATGCCTAATGACATAGGCGGAACTAGAAGTAGAACAGGAGGAATGAGCGTTTCATTAGCAAGTCCTGATGGACGCGTAGTAGGCGGTGGTGTCGCTGGTTTACTAGTAGCCGCAAGTCCGGTTCAGGTCAACCATTTTCTGATATTTCCAGTCCAAAGAGCTACAACTTTCTTTAACCGGAAACTTAAGTTTCATGTGTTTGAATCAAACAGGTGGTTGTAGGAAGTTTTTTAGCAGGAAAAGATCAGGAAGATCAGCAACCGAAAAAGAACAAACATGATTTCATGTTGTCGAGTCAAACCGCGGCCATTCCCATCTCTAGTGCAGCTGATGACCGGAAAATCCATTCGGTCTCGTCTCTGCCAATCAATAATATTACATGGCAGACTTCTTTAGCTTCTGATCCAAGAAACAAGTGTTCTGATAATAAAGTCAATTTAACTTGAAAAATCAAATCTTCCTCTGTATTTTTGCTCCTTATTAAGTTCACTAGGTGTTTTGCCCGCACTTGCGGGCCTAAACATTTTATAATTATTTTATTACATTTCTTACTAATCGAAAAATTATAATGATAAAGTATTATTTATGTTTTATTTTTTTTGAAATCAATAATATTTATATTTTCATTTAACATTCTTACATGTATTTCTTTGTACATTATGTTCCCTACTAAAAATAAATCATCTTAAAATAAAAATAACTTTTTTCTTTTCAATTATAAAAAATTAAGATGTTTACTTGATTAATATTTAATTATGTATATTTATTTTTTTTGAAAAATATATCTTCAGATAACAACACAATATATATAGGAATTATCTTATATAAATACATATTATTTATATTAAAAATAATCAAAATAATTTAAATCCGTTTTTATTAATACATCTTTTACTAATTGAAAGATTATAGTGATAAAGTATTGATTGTGTTTTATTTTTTGAAACCAATAATATTTATACTTTCATTTAACAATTCTTACATATATTTCTTTGTAGTTTATATTCACTATTAAAAATAATTTTAAGATCAAATAATATTAAGGATTGATTGTGTTTAATTTTTTGAAACCAATAATATTTATACTTTCATTTAAGAATTCTTACATATATTTCTTTGTACTTTATGTTCACTAGTAAAAATAATTTTAAGTTCAAATAATACTTTTTCAGTAATATAAAATTAAGAAGTCGACTTGATTAATATTTAGTTATGTATTTTCTATTGTTTTAGTTGTTAACTTTTTTATCAAATATATTTTCAGATAACATCACAATATATATCAGAATTATCTTATTTAAAAAGATATTATTTAGATTTTGGATAATTCTTATGATTATTATTAATTTTAGATTAAAATAATTTAAATTCGTTTTTATTTTATATGTAATATATATATTATTTTCATTAAGGGTATAAACGATATTAACCACTCCAACTTTTAACGTGGGAGCTTCGTTGCGAAAAATTACTTCGCAAATAATAGTATAGATTTCGGATTTTCAACATTAGCCATTATAAGGGTTCTACCAAACTGATAGTTTTAAAGGTCTTTTTTTTTTTTTTGAACTGGCCTTATATATATACTAGATTTTGACCCGCGCTTGAAAGCGCAGAAATTTTTTTGATTAAAAGTTTATATAATTAGGTTTTGTCTTTATCTAAAGTATGTTTTCGTATAAAATGAGTAATCCAAAATTTGTGGTGATGATTGCTTTGCATTAGTTTTTAGTTTCAGTTTTTTATTTTTAGATTTGCTTTTAGATTTTGGTTTTTGGTTTTTAATTTTTAAGTTTGTAGTTTTGATTTTCAGCTTTTTGTTTTGGTTTTTTTTTAGCTTTTAGATCCGCTGAGTTAGTTTGAACTCATAATTACCAACAAAGAAATCCTAAAGAATCGAACATCTAATTTACAACTGAAAAGATGACAATTTTTATTTAAAAAATTGCAATAGTTTATTTCGTAAATAAACAAAATAAAAGCAAAAATATAACATGCGTTTTCAGCTTTTGGTTTTAGATTTTAATTTTTAGATTTGGTTTTTAGTTTTTCTTTACCTTTTTTTTTAAATCAGTAAATTATTTAAGAAAAATTGAAAAAAATAAACTATTATAAAAGTTACCATTGAAATTTATCAAGACAGAGTGATTGTTAATTTAAAACAAAAAATATTAACATTTTTTAAATTACATGATTTGAATAAGTGATTAATAATATATAATTTTGTTTTGTTAAAATATTAAATACTTTTGGGCCTTAAAATAGTAATTGATTTTTTTATCCATTAAGGTAGAACATTTATTCAATGTTTTTTTGGAATTTTTCTTTAATACTAAGCCCAAAACCCAAACTATATAATTTGTCATAAAAACAAAAGTAAGCCCAATAACTGCCGGTTTAATTTAAGTAATGCGGTTCAATCAACTTTATGACTTGTATTATTTGTAACACTCTAGAAAGTGTCCAAATTTAAATGACAACTTATATCAGTAGATAAAAGAATGACTCTATTTTAATAGAGTAGATTAGTAGATTTCCATATTCCATATTTTAATGATATATATTCTTTTAGAACATTCCATATTTGTAGGAGAAAATATGTGTTTTTGGTATACACATAGATATCTGCCGTGTTTTGAAGGTATTTTACATTAAGGTCGTCTTTTTACATTAATTTTGTTGGTTTAATTTAAGTAATACGGTTCAATCAATTATATGACTTATATTATTTGTAACATTCTAGAAAGAATCCAAATTTAAACGACAACTTGTACCAGTAGATAAAAATAATGACTCTATTTTAACAGAGTAGATATATATATATATATATATATATATATATATATATATATATAACGTTAGAAAAAGAAAAAATACAACCCATTCCGCTGGATTAAGTGTTAAATATTAGAGCAAGCCCAGTTTAGAAACCCTATTATTGAAATCCAAGTAAAGCCCATTCATCCTTAGTCGACGTTTCTTTTCTCTGATCAATTAGAATTGCAGAATTTGCTTGAAGCCAAACCTGCATAAGAGATGACGATGTTGCTGGGTTGGAATCCCTGTAACTCAATAACTTCTCTTTGATTTTTCTATCTAAAAGAGGAAGCAGTGATGCGATAGTACGAGAGCAATTTCGGTGAAGTCTGGCGTTCCGCTCTGTCTAAGTCCAATAGATAACAATTTGCTAGTACATAAGTAAGATACGCTTTCTGATACGGTTCTCTTGAAGACCCTACAGTTGCAAGACGCATGCAGACCAGTTACGAGCAGGAGAAAAAGCATATTTTTGTAGCTATCGTGTTCCAAATCTCCCAAGCGTAAGAGCATTCAAAGTAAAGATGATCTCTACTTTCGTCATCTACACCACACAGAAGACAGAGAGGGTTCGAGTTTAAGCCCCAATTACAGAGACGGTCTCTAGTAGGACACCTATCAAGATAGAAGAACCAAGCCATGGAACAATGTCTTGGGATCCCGCCTTTGATCCACATCACTGTTGTCCATTGTTAATCTTCACGGGCTTCTCTCAAACAATTGTAGACTTGACCTATTGAATATCGTTCAATAACATTCCCATCTATCTCTCAAGTGTAGTAATCTGAGTATATGCTGAAGCTAATGTTCGTGAGGAAGGCAATGATGTTAACCTGCAGTTCTGAGCGAGGAGAAAGGAGAAGCTAATGTCTGTTCCTGTAGAGGTCAGAAATGGTCGCCGTCCTACTTATACCCACTCTCAAGTCACACCCTCCATTTGTTAGTTCCAAGATTGACCCCTCCGGGCACCAGTTGTCTGACCAGAATCTACAGTTCAGACCATTACCAATTCTCATCTTAATCCAGGTAAAAACAGAACCCTTTAGCTTCAGTAACTTGTTTGTTAGCCATGAGTGTCGTCTGTTTGGTTTAGTTGTCCAGTAGTTGCTTAGGTTCCCTGATAGGATCTCTGATTTGAACCAAGCGACCCAAACAGACCCTGATTGAAAGAATAATAGCCAGATAAGCTTTAGGGTACAAGCTTCGTTTCAAGTGTAAAGGTCCCTGACTCATAAACCCCCTTGCGATTTCTCTCTAGTGACAATTTCCCATGAAACCCTAGCAGTGTGATGACTCTCCATGTCACCTTTCCATAGGAACAATCCACATAGGGAATTAATTCTTTTTATGCACGCCTTTGGAAGGATAAATGAAGAACACCAGAAGGTATTTATTCCCGAGATAAGTGTTTTAATGAGCAAAAGTCTACCCGAGAAGGATAAAGCTTTTGCACTCCAAGAGGAAAATCTCATTTTGATTTGTTGAATTAACCCTTATGTGTTAGAGATGGTTTGGACGTGGACAAAGGTACACCCAAGTAGCGAATAGGAAGTGAACCCAATGGCATACCTGTAAAAACTTGAATAGCATCCACCTCCTGTTGAGAAAAACCTGAGGCAAAGAAAGATGACTTCTGCATATTAACTGCTAGCCTTGAGCGTTTCTCAAACTCTCGGAGCACTGCAAGGACCGCTTGAAGGGAAGAAACAGAACCATCCATGAAGATAAGTAGATCATCCGCAAAGAGCAAGTGAGTAAGTTTAGCATTACGACATTTATGGTGGTAGTCGAACTTGAATTCCAAAGCAGCTTTGTTCAGCATTTGAGATAGTGTATTCATGGCTATAATGAATAGATAAGGGGATAGGGGATCCCCTTACCGCAATCCTCGCTTGCCTTTGAAGTACCCATGGACAGATCCATTATAAGCAATAGTATAGTTAGTGGTGCAAACACACGATTTTATCCATTTGAGGAACTGTTCTGGTACTTGAATACTTTTCAGATTGCTGAAGAGAAACTCCCATGAAAAAGTGTCAAATGCTTTTGCAATGTCTACTTTAAAAGTGAGGCGTTTGGGGCCTTGTGCTTTGTAATATCCGTTAACCAGTTCTCCAGCCAGCACAATGTTCTCCAAAAGAAGTCTATCCCTCACAAAGGCTGTTTGGTTTGGTAGAATAAGTGATGGAAGGATAGGCTTAAGCCTTTTGACCAAAAGGCGGGAGATTACCTTGTATGTGGTGTTGAGACAAGCAATTGGTCTATAGTCTGAAGCTAATGAAGCCCATTGGCGTTTAGGAACCAGAGTTAGGATCGTGGCATTAGTGGCCGCTGGAAGGAAGGCTGAGTTGAAGAAATGCAGTATCTCTGACACCACTTCCTGTCCCACAACATTCAAAGCAGATTAATAAAAATCAGAAGTAAGTCCATCATGTCCAGGCGCCTTGTTTGGATTTAGTTTAAACAAGACTCTTGTTATCTCAGCTTCAGTAGGAATAATGACCATGGACGGTTGTACATCTTGTTGAACTGCATACTGCGACAAAGATACAAACCAGAACCAGGTTGACTGAATATCTGGCTGGTTAGATTGTTAAGAGAAAGGACCCGCGCAGATAAATATAAACCATTAGCCTCACTTACTCTATTTTGTATCTGAGAAAAGTTCTCTCTATTTAGCTTCTTTAGATCCTTTTTGATACACTTTTGCTTCCAATAGAGGTCCGAGAGCGTCAACACAGCAGTTCCGGCCTGATTCCATGCCTCAACGACCACTGATAAGAAGTCTGGGTGTTTGGTAAGATAGTTGTAAATTTTTAAGGGTTTGGTTCGAGCAGTAGGGAGGGGAAAGGCAAGGTCTAAAAGGCAAGGACTATGATCAGAGACTTCAGGAGTAAAAAAGTGGCTACACTGTTTGGGAAAGCTTCAAGAAAAGGGTTATTAACAAGCAGCGGTCTAACTTCTTAGCTATTGGGAAGTCAGGTTGTTTGTTGGTCTAAGAGAAAAGAGGACCTTGGAACCAAAGATCAAAAACACCAAGTTGGGTCAAACAGTCTTTAAATTCAATCATGGCAACATCAAGCGAGTTTACAAGGGGCAGAGAGTGTTCATCGTGATGCACAATTTGATTGAAATCTCCTCCCATTATCCATGGCATATCACTTAGGGAGAAAGTCTGGTAGAGAGTAAGAAGTTCCACCCAAAGATCCACACGGTCTACTCTAATGTTGAGGCATAAAATGAGGTAAAGACAAAAAGTGTGGCACTAGGTAAGGTAACTTCACAAGTTATGGATTGACGAGATCGTGAAGTAACCTGACTGAAACCAAGTCTCTCCAAATGAGAATTATACGACCATCTTCATCCTCAGAATGATTTGATAAAAAAAATTCCAGCCCACACAGATTTGAGACATAAGGTAGCTAAGGTTTTGTTCTTTTATATGGGTTTCTAAAATAGAACCAAAAAGGGGTTTATGACTATTAAGCCAACGACAAAAGGGGCGATGCTTGTTTGAGTCATTTAAACCACGAACATTCCAAAAAAAATAGTTTACTACACATCATGATGAAAAGGAAGACTCTCCAGGAGGTAGAGAGTCCTCAATTTCCAAAATGGAAAAAGAGTTTGAAGACGAAAAATGGAGAAACAAGGTTAAGTAAAATAGGGTTCGGTAAAACAAGGGCAAAAAGAAAAGTTTTAGGAGGAGAAATGTTTAGGCTAGGGTCAGAACGAGATCTTTTTAGAGACGGTTTTGGAATGGGTGGAAGAGGAGGGCGTACAGCTGGGAGACCAAGGATATAAGGTATAGGAGAGTAAAAGGGAGGACTAGAAGGAAGAGGGGAACGGTTGGTATTTGAAGGGACATAACTAGCGGAAGGGATTGATGGAGGCAAAGAAGGAGCTGACATAGTGAAGGTGAAATTTTCACTGGCCACAGAAGAAGTGTCATTGGACGGAGGCAATGCAGCAGATGACGATTCCACAGGCAGAACATCATCCACTTTCTTCTTATATATATTCAAGATAGGTGTAACTGCTGCAGAAGAACTCTTTTCAGATAGTTTTTGATTGTTGCTTGGAGCAGCTTGCTTTTCGGGAAGAGGCAGTAGGAGGCAGTTTCTTGAAATATGTCCCAATTCCTTGCAATGAGCACAAGTAAGAGGAAGCCATGGGTAGGTGACCATTACTTCAACTACTTCACCACTCTGTCTCGAGAATTCAACAACCTTAGGAGCTGGTTTTATAAGGTCAACTGCAACTTTAACATGAGAGATGGTTAAACTAACAAGATTTTTGGTAAAGTCATCAGTCTCTCTTTGGGTTCACCAACCAATCCAGCCACCAAACTGAGTCCTTCCTGATGAAGAAGATCAAAGGGAACACCATGAAGATGCGCTCATATGGGAATAGAGTCCATAGCCGGTGCAAATGAGGAATGGGCAAATGTCCATTGAGCAGTGTGAAACATTGAATCACCTACATACCAGATTCCTTTCTCCAAGATATTTTGTGTGAGGTAGTAGCTTAGTATACGGACCAGCATTGAACGAGTTAGAGGATTATTATGAATTACAACCCTCTTCTCTTTTCCACACATGTGATTCAATACATTTTGTACTTGTTTAAACGGTGGGGGACGACCATTGAAATAACGACCATTGAAATAGCACGCAATGAAATCTCTATGTATTTCTGCATCTTTTTCAAACACAGCATCAAGAATAAGAATTCTAGGTCGACCATACTCCGCAATTGTGGCTGGAGCAAGACGATGAAGAGTCTTATCCTCTCTTCTTCTGATTTTTTCTGCTAAGTTGGGAGGACTGCTATCGCCAGTTACATGATGGCGGTTCTGCGTAGACTGATTAGGAGGAGTTTGACAAGGAGGGGGAAAGGTTTGGTTAGTGAGCGATGGTGTTTAGGGTTTGTAACAATGGGAGGGACAGACTCATCCATCTATGTGTTCTAAAGAGCAGGAGAAGAATTGGGCAGCAGTAGTGAAAAAGGGTTAGAGGTAAGATTAGGAGGGGAGAGCGTGAGAGAGTTGGAAGCTTTGTTTGTATGGATATGAGAGGAAGATTTAGAAGGGAGAATCTTGAACTGTTCATGAATAGTAGGATCAGATCTAGGGTTTTGCAAGTTGCTTGAATCCTTGTGAGATTCATTTTGTTTCTGAGATATAACATCCTCAGTAGTTTTTTTGCTTTGAATTCTCTCTGATATTTACTGATTGAACAAATTTCAGAGAAGTTGACTGAGCTTTACGGGACGAAGGGGAAAGTTTGGATGAAGAGGAGAGAGGGGGATAGTGAGATATCGAGAGGGATTTGGAGGAGGACATGTCAAGAGGGTCAGGTGGATGGGGAGGGACTCGGGGCGGCTTGTCACCAGTGGTGAGAGGCGATGGAAGCAAGGCGGGAGAGTGAGAGAGCCAATGGTTCTCCAATTTGTTTATAGTTTTAAGGGTTTAAAAGTCTTATATGCTGATTCCATTGTTGTTGCATGATCTAACGTTATTTCCTTCTTGTTTATTCGCATTTAAATCATCTTTTCTTTTCCTTGAAACTTATTTAAATTGGTCATGGTTCTGGTTTTGCCGGTTATTATCCACCATCCATGTATCGCCTCAGTATTATCTTAGTTATTGGATTCGGCCTTATGGTTATCAAGCTAAAGTCTCTCTATAACACCGTCTTAATCTACACGAATCTAAACAAGTTGAACTATTTCAATACCTTGAAGAAAGTTTCATTATAAAGATTGATAAGAGCTTGTACTTCACAAACAGAGATGTCTATCTAGATTCCATAGGGGGTCATATAAAACCTGCCCCATTAACTGGAAGGTCCTCCAAAACCTGTGTCACCAGACTCTAAATTCATGTACAGATAGGCACATAATCCATATATATAATAGAGTGTCATCTATATATGGATTAACATGTATATAATCAATATATACATGTTTCGTGGAACTTCTTACGGTAGCACAAAAACCAGATCAGACATCCCCCGAGAGAAAGAACAAATGTCTCTCTAAATCCATCACGCCATTAAAGGATTCTTTTTACATAATCTACAACATCCGCATTGACCTTGTTTCACTTTTTTGGCTAGCGGCATAAGGTCATACAAGATTAATGTTAATCTAGAACCTTAAATTCCAAGGGGCAAGAGTTTCTTTCCAAAAAAAATGTTTCGACATTAGTTTCAAATGTTTAAGCAAGTGATCAACGTCTTTACGAGTTGTGAAATGAACTAAAAAAACAAGAAAGCCAAAAAGATAATAAAACAACATAAATCATAAAAATCAAGAACTACGTAAAGATGTGACGTGGTCAACAAAATCCATCAAGAATCGGTGATTAAAATGTAAGAGATAAAAGTTGGTCAACTCCAGTAATTTTGATTTCTCAAGCCTTAGATGTCTCCCAATGCCGAATGGATCAACCTTAAAGCCAAAACGAATACAAAAAAAATAGTTAGAATAAGAATTTACCTTCGAAACACATGAGGATAACATGAATATATAGTGATTTAAGATAGAAATTTACCAATAAGATGTGATAATAGTGCAGAGAGCGATATGACCAATCTTGTAAAGTCGTTTCTTTTGCTCCCCTTTATTTGTATTGTGCATCTCTGTAACGTCTGCCAAATATTCCTTTTTCATGTATCTTTAACCGGCAATAAAGAAAAAAGAAGACATCCTTCAGTTAAACCGGATTTGTTGAATTGACTACCGTGTTGACTTCATAAAACTGACCAATATGATGATGAGTGAATGATTAACTTACAGTCTAATGTTGTAGAAAAGGTGAGGAAGAGACAAAATCGCCATGAACCAATGTCCGGTTAAGACATAATACACACATAGAAGTCCTTGCAAACCGAATTCCGGTAGAATTACCCGGTTTATTTTGGTAGATGAATCGTAAGGGTTTATGTGATCAGCCTCTAGATCCGCCAAACATGTCAGCTGCATTACAAAAAAATATGATAAATTAATGACAAAGTTAATCGAATTACAAAAACTTTATCATCTGATTCAAACTTCAAACTCAGAAGATCGAAACCCAATTCAATTAAAAAGTTATTTTTAAAAAGTTTGTTTTTGGACTACGGTATAGTTTAATTTTAATTTAACCTAACAATAGTTTTAGGAGAAATAAAAACCTGGTAAATAACGATGATGAGAAGAGTAACGAGAAATAAGAAAGAGATAATCCAATCAAGTAAATCGCCCATCTTCCGCAGTCTTTAGCCGTGGCAGGAAATTCAATATCCGTCGTGGCTACCGCCTTGCTCTGACTCTGTATTGTCGAACACGGACGGTGTTTTGGTCAAAGCTTTGGGAATTGCAGGTATCAATCTGATTTATAAAACCGAATATATAAGAAATTGGTTTTTATAAAAACTATTAAAATCCCACTGGATCTGGTTGGATTAAAGCTAGGCAAATAAACCGAACTCAAAAACCCGAATCGAACCCAATCTAATAAATATGAATCCGAACCGATCCGAATCCGATTTAAATACCGAATGGATTTTGTCTTATGGGAATTATCCGAACCAAACCCGAAATTAAATGAATATCCGATAGAACCCGAAACATTCAAAAAAATTAATAAGAACATGTACCGTATATGATCTTAATTCCTAATATATATCCAAAATACTCTAAGATATTACTAAACATCTAAAATATTTATCTATTACATGAAGGTTGATGGTTGAAAGTGGCGGTTCAAACTTGAAATTTCTAGATTAATGTTTTGTTTTTATTGAATAATGTTTCTCATTTTTCAGAACTTGGTTTTCGTTTTATATTTTCATTTATTTGGTTTTCTTTCTACTAATAACTATGTTTACCTTTCATTTGATTTTGAATTATCACGTTTGATGTTCCTTTCTTATTTTTAAATCAGTTTTACTTATAATTTGGTTACAAAATAGTTACATATCAGGTACTTTAAATCCGAAAAACCGATTTTACTTATATTTTGATTACAAAGTAGGTACAAATCAAGTATTCTTAAACCAAAATACCGACTGCGACTCGAATCCGAAAGTATAGCGGATTATACCGATTCTTTAAAGATTTACTAACCCCGACCCGAACCCGATAGAATCTGAACTAATCCCGAACCGAACTCGATAAAATCCGAACTAATCCCGAACCGAACTTTCAAATAATCTGAATGAGACTAATTTTGATAAATTCGAAAAATCAAAACCTGATTGGACAAAACCGAAAACCAATTGAGATCACGAATGCCCATGATATGGGTTGACAAAAATAAAAGAAAACTTCTCTTTAAAATAGAATCCATTTGAATGCAAGTAGCCAGTAAATAATCGTGCCTATTACGTGCTTGAGTTGCATATCATACTAGTCAAATAATATTAATTAGATTTCGACCGCACAATTGTGTGGATATTTAATACAAAATATTTAAAATTATATAATAAAATTTATCAATAAATAAGTATAATTTGATTCTGTATTCTATCCAATTTTATAATAATTTTATGTGACTTATAATATTATTAATATAAAATTGATAAATTTGTATTTTTGTAATAATTTATATATTTTATTTTATTTCTAAAGTTGAAATCTATGTACAAATTAATTAAGTTGGACTTACATAATACATAAAAAAATTTTGGGATATCGTTAAAAGTATTTTACATAATTTTAATTTTTTGTTTATAAACTAAAAATGAATTAAAAATTTAATTATATTTTATGATAGTTAAAATTTTAATCAAATAAGTTTTGAAACTATATCTTGAAAAAGATTCTAAAATATTTTTAAAAGATTTTGTTAGAATTTTATTAAAACTATTTATTTGTATTTCAAACAAAAATTAAAGATATGAAAATATATTATAATGTTATGTAGAATTTTATAAAATTATAAAGATGTTCCAAACTAAAATATCACACATGAATTAAGTCATGACTTCTCTTTTAATATAATAGATTTCCTATTTATAAACTAATTTTCCTATATCGTATGAATACTTTCTGTTATAAATTAACTCGAAGAGATTAATGTGAATGCAACGCTTAAAAACAAGAAAATTAAAGTAATGTGAATGCTATACCAAATTCAAAATAATTGCGATTGTTTGTTTTTTTTGTCTGCAACACTGTCCAATGGCCAAATTTAAACAGAGAAAAAAAATACTGTCCAATGGTTTCATTCACAATAGTTTATTTGAGTATAAAAAGTAAAATTTTATTTGGGCGGTGGCCCTACAATAACTGAGTCAACCACAGGACTGGCCAAGTTTCTCAACGGAACTGGAAAAGATCGCTACCCTTCGGATTTGTTTTCCTGAATTTAAAATTGTCTATGTGCCTAGGACACAGAATGTTTTCTCCGATTCACTTGCTAGGACTGCTCGATCCTTTTATCAAGAATTGCTGTTTGTAGGTTGTTCTATTCCGGTTTGGATTCCCAGACCACCTCAAGCTTGAGTAATAGATCAGCCGTTCGTTGTCAAAAAAAAAAAAAAAAAAAACTGAGTCAACCGACTAACCACTGCCTTCTGGAATAGAAGTTTGATATAAGAATATCCTTTATCAAAAAGTATATTCTTTCCGTGATGTAATGTGATTTTGCTAACGTTTTTTAAAATAACAAACTGTAACAAATGTATTTTTGTCATCTAGAATTGGACTAGAGCTCTGTCCGTTTTATATCCAGACGCTACATTTGGATATTAATATTTATATATTAGTGCTGTTCGTTTGGTAGCCGTCATTTCTGCGTATGCGTCTGCAGCTATGTTTTCCACTAAATCTTATTCGTTTCGTTGACGCGGTAACCTGCGTCTGCGGCGGAACGTGGCGTCTGCGTCTGACGCAGAGAAAAACCAGCAAATATTGACTAACTACTGCGTCTACTTCACCTAATTACAATTCTACCCTTAACCTAATTCATTATGCACCAATTACCTAAGTTTATTAGCCGCAGACGCAGCTCTCTTCTCAATCGACGCAAGCAGACCTTCGATCTTTAGCTATGTCTTTCTCGATCTCCAACCATCTCCAACTATCTCCCTCTCCGTCCGATGCATCTCCAGCTATCTCTCTCTCGGCCTGACGCATCTCCAGCTGTCTCTTCTCCGACGTATCTCTCTCGATCTCTCAATCTCTCGATCAGAGCTGTCTCTCTCTCTCTCTCGATCTCTCGATCTCCGACGAAAACCCAAAGATCTCTCTCTTCTTTTCCGCAGCTCGAGCTCTCTCCCTTCTCCGACGAAAACCAGAGCTGTCACTTCTCCGACAAAACCCAGAGCTGTCTCTTCTCCGACGTGGCTCTCTCTCTATCTTCTCCATTGAAAACCCATCCGAGCTCTCTCTCTTCTCTGCAAACCCAACTCCAAGCTCTCTCTTTGAGGTAACTGTCTCTGAGTTACTTGAGTTTTGTGTTCATAAAAAAAGCAACTTACTTTGTGCCTGATCAAGTTTCTTTGTGATAGCGTTTCTTTGTTTCTTCTTAGGTTTGTGATAGAGGACTTGAGCTATACTCTCTGTGTTATTTGCCTTTTGATAGTTTATTGTATGCTTGCTTAGTGTTTTCATCTCTTTGTTTTTGTCTTTTACATGATATATTCATGTGCTTTCAGAATTAGCTTAAAGCTTTATGCCTTTGTTAGCAACGTATGGTTAATAGTGTAGTTTCTGAAACAAGTGATTTTGTGTAGTTGGTGAACTCTTGTCTCAAGGGGTTCTTATTGGTTCACGGTTTGAAACTGAAAAGGGGGTTTATAGCAAAATCTGAAACTGTTTAACTGACCAATGTTCATTCTCTTTGGTCAAGTCTCATAATGCTTATTCTTTCCTTTTTTTGCAGGCATCAAGCTCTCTTATCTCAAGCTCAGATCCTCTCAAGCTCAGACTGCTGCTGTTCTCAAGGTCTGTCATTTATGATTCTTCATAACATCTATTTAAACCCGTTTGTTAGTTGCTTATAACTTGTTGTTTTAATCTCTTGATATTATTCTTTCTGTCTTTTTTTGCAGGCTCTCTCGTCTCAAGTTCAGACCCTCTCAAGCTCAGACTGCTGCTGTTCTCAAGGTCTGTTCTTTGTTGTAGCAATGTATAAAAATAATTTGATATGATGCGTAGTAGTATTGATGTTAAAGCTGGCATCTTGGCCCTTCTTTGCTCTTTCTTTTGCTTAGCTTTAACTGTTTATTTAGGATTGATGGTTAGTAGTGTTGATGTCTGATCTCAAAGAAAATGTATTATACGGTTAGAGATTCTGCAAATATGCCACGTTTACTTTTGTTTTTGTTATTAAAATAGATTTTGAATCCTATTAGTTTGAGTGATGAATTGCAGCTCTGTGCTTAAGATCATAACAACTACACGTAAATCTTTGTTTGTCTCAAGAGTTTCACTAACTGAAAAACTTTGAAAAATAATACAACAACAGTTTCATCAGTTATGTTCTATGTTGAATACAATGTTTTGAATAACAACCATCTTTGTGCTTTGTTTATTTTTGCTGCTAGTAGTTACAACGTTTTATTTTTTATAAGATACAAAACAGTATGTGTATTGGTTAATATATATATATATATATATATGAATCTCGTCTCTTATGTTCTTTAATTCTTCCTTTGTTAATTAATATGTGTTTCTTACAGGACAAGTGTTTGCATCTGATTTTACTCTCTCGATGACCCTTTCAGGCTCACTCTCTCGAGACCCATGACAAAAGATGTAAGTTTATATGTCTGATCTTGTTTGCATTAGTGATCTTGGTTTATATACTTGAGTTTATATGTCTGATCTTGTTTGCTTTAGACTTGGCCTCCTGAGGAAACTAGGTTTTTTTTTTCCAACTTTACGCCGAAGAGAGAAGAAAAGGAAATAGGAAGACATCAATGAATAAAGTAGGGAAACAAAACATCATAGAGGCGTTTGAAGAGAGGTTTAAGAAAGAATATCTCGATTGGCAGCCTTTCAAGAACAAATATGACACCAGTAGGAAGAAATACACCAAGTTTAGGAACTTAACTAAGAATAGGACATGGCTTGGGTTTGATGACTTGGGAAGAATTGATATGTCTGATGATTGGTGGAGTGAATGCGAAAAGGTCAGTATAAAATCATATACAATTCGGTTTTAGTATTTTCTAGTATTTTCATGCTTATATAAGTGCTCGCTGATAATTGTTTGTCATGCTGATATAAGTGTTCGCTGATAAGTTTTTGTCATGCTTATATAAGTGCTCGCATAATTGTTTGTCATGCTGATAATTTTTTTTCTAGTATTAGTATTTTCCAGGTTTGTTTATTGTATTTGATCATGCTGATAATTTTTTAACTTAAAGAA